TGGGACCTGCGGACACCTCCCTTGTGCTAAGTATGGCCCTGGTGTCCGTATGACATGCCATCGATAGTCCCTTAATCTGCACCCGATTTCCCCCAGCAACACTGCAGTGACTATCCTGTGAGGGACCCTGTCACCTTGTGGGAAGCAGTCTGTTTCAGAAAGCTTCGCTTGCTAGAAATTTCTTCCTCCTGTTGAATTCCAATCTTCCTTTGCAGCTCCCACCCACCCAGGGGCCCTGGCTCTGCTCGCAGGGCCCATGGGGCGCTAAGCCCAACGCCCGCCCACCCACAGGTCAGAGAACGGGAGGATGGCCCTCGGGTCCGCACGCTGCTCTCCTCCTCCTGTTCTTCGAGTCCCCTCCCTGACCCCTTGGATCACAGCCCCGTGCGTGGGTGCGAGGCCCCAAACGAACGCAGGCCTCCCTGCGGTGACCAGGGGGTGCAGCGGGCCTCTCCTCTCCCTGTTTCCGGATCCTGCGTCCTACTGCCAGGGGATGCCAGCTGCATTTGACGGCCATGCCCACTGTTGACCCAGCCGATTTCACAGTCAGCAAAGTGCCCTTCTCCCCGACCCCGGGGTCCTGCCAGTCTGTATCTGCAGTGCGTGCACCAGTTGATGAAGCTTTCTCATCTCCATCCTCGATTGAATTCGCTGCCACCCTGGAAATAGACGGTACCACCCCCATTTACAAACAAGGACACCAAGCCTCTGGGAGGTCATGCCTGAGGTTTCCACGCAGGAAAGACACCCTCAAATTAGCAGAGTGTGCACCAGCCTTTGGTCACAACTCATTTTAAAGGATGTGGCCAGGGAGCAGAGCCTAAAGGGAGCGTTCAGGCCCCTGAAATGGTGGCAGAGTTGCTGTCCCTACTCCAGGCCAGAAGGGGCGAGGAGCAGTGGTCTTCAGTGAAGGGACATAGCAGTCATAGACAGGGAGGGCCCAGGTGGACAGGTGCCCAGCGGCCCTCCCTTCCCTACCCCCACCTCCCACGGGCCCCTCACTAGTCAAAGCCCCAAGTCACTGGACCCTGTGGACAGGGCCACACAGCTCAGCCTCTAGGGTGGGGAGGGGAGGATGGAAAGTGGACCTGGGGAGGTAGATGGAAGATTCTGGAAAACAGGTTTAGGGAGTACACATGGATTGTAGACAAGGGGGTCTCATCTCACCTCCCCACCTCCCTGCCAGCCACTTGCTCTCTTTAAATCAGCTGTGTGCATATAGCTGTATGCATGGCAGGTCAGTCCCCTGTCAGCCCAGCCCTCTTGCTGTCCCCACAGTGGGCGAGTGGGTTGGTGAGTGGGGGCTGTCTTGGGCCAGAGCGAAGCCTGCTGGTCTGGAGCTGGTTGATGTGAGGAGGGAGATGGGTGGACCTACGCCCTGCAGGGACTGCCATGCAGAACGGGAGTTAGGAACCACACCAGTGGTGGGCCCCGGCTGCAATGTCCAGGGGGGAGGTTTCAACGGCATGTGACACAACACTTTGACAGCGACGGTATCAGTGAGGCGACAGAATGGATCTTTCTGGGCATTCTGGTGCAGGGACAACCTCCTGTGCCTCGGTGTGCTTCCAAGAACAGTGCTGGGAATCTCTGGTCCCCTGAATTCCTCGAAAACTTGGAAGGCGGGGGATAAATAACTCTGCTGATCCGGGAGCCCCCCAGGTGTCATCCGTGCAGTCCTCCAAGCCCCTGTGGTCTGCAGCTGTCAGACAGAGGTGGATGGCAGGCTCTGGCCCACCCCAGGCCCACAGCTGGCAAGCGGCAGGCCCAGGATTGGCACCTGGGCAGCCTTGACCTGGACTTTATGTTTATCTGGTGGGCCAGGACAGAGCAGAGAGGCAGGCAGCAAGTCAGACCTGGTTTCCACACCCACACAGCTGGCGGGGCCCCGTGTTGAGCACTGGCACAGAGGAAGAAAGACTGGCTTTCACGGTGGAGGGGGGAACGTGGCTCCGGGGGGAACGTGGCTCGCTGTGGGCCCTTGGAGAAGGGAGAGTACCAGAGGCCCCTTTGACCGTGCCTGGGGTGGCAGGTGTCGGCTCTGCCCCACGGTGTTCCAGGGTCCCTGGCTGCCGATGCCTGTGCACCACCGGATGGGCGATCCAGACATCTTGGCAGGGCCTGTGGAGTATCTGCTTCATGCAGGCCCTGCTGTCTGGCCCTGAGCCCACCAAGACACTGCTGGTTTAGGCCTCAGCTTCCCGTGCACATCTGTCTAGAGGGAGAGGCTGTGTAGGTGACGCTAGTGAGAGTGCCCAGCCCCGTGCACAGGATTTTCAGTGCCGCGCAGCCTGGCAGCTTTCTGTTTTTTGGTGCGAGCCTAGTGAGTTGGGGGTCTGCACTTGCTTTGCGTCTTTGAGTCTGGAAGATCCTGGGGGAGCAGGATTAATGGGACAAGGGGGTGAATGCCGCCCTTCAAGGTCTCCTGGAGAGGGCCACCTGGTCTCCAGGCCCCATCCCTGGGGTCCACGTCCCAGATCCCTCTCTGCAGTGGCAGGTGTTGTGTGTTGGAATATTAAGGTTGGGGTTTGGGATTCTGGATGAGAAACACCCAGCCAGCCCTCTCCTATTTTTCTGGAAGGTGGGGTGTCCCTTGTAAATAATGGCCAGAAAATAAGCATCAGCCAGGAAAGCCGCGGCTGGCTGAGTCCCTGTCTCCGTGCGCCTGCCAAACAGCCCCGCAGACAGGAGGCAGCCTTCAGCCCCTGCCCCCCGCGGCGCAGGGAGGGAGGGCAGCTCTGGTGGGTGGAGGGGGGGAGGCCAGGAGGCAGCTCTGGGCCTTGGGACCTCCCCCTGAGCCCCTTTGGCTGATTGGTGGAGAGCACTGGCTCAGAAGCCAGAGGGGTCTTGCGGCCCCTCCAATCAGCCTCCCATCAGATGGAGGAGCAGAATGCGGTGCATGGTTTGCTCCAGCTCCTTCCTCCAGTGGTGCGCTGGTAGACTTGGCACCCGCTGGCTGGGGAGCCCTGATTTCCTAGTGCTTGCCCACCGCACAGGGGACATGCCCCCACCATGGCTGATTTCAAGCAACAGGGCATCACTGAACATGCGTTGGGAAGATATGCGCCCCGCCCCTCGCTGTTCCTATTGGTCCAGAATCCTCAGCTGGGCTGGGCTGCAGGTGCCCTCCCCATCACTGTGCAGGGGGCGTATTGCCCCCACCCCAGGGAAGCCATAAGCAATGGGTCCTTAGGGAGTTTCAAAGATGTCTCTTAAAGCAAAAAAACCCTGGCACGCAGGACACACAGCCCACAAGAGACCTCAGTCAGGGTGGCACAGCTGAAGCAACGCTTGACCGTCAAAGCCGGGCTTTGTTAGCAGCGCCAGCGGCCGGTTGGTGATGGGCAGGGCTGGCAGCGGCAGCATGGTGCCCTGGCGGCAGTGCCAGGCCAGCCAGAAGGCTCAGGCGCTGAGGCCCAGCTGCCTCCTCTGTTGCTTGGAGTCATAACCACCCCATTGGGATTGTTGGGAGAAATGGAATAAAATGCCCGTAAAGCTCTCAACTTGAAAGTTTGTTCAAAAGCAGGCCGAGAGGCTGCTGACTGTCAGCGCTGGAGGCTCTGCCTTAAGAGCTCTTCGCAAAACAAGACCCCGGCTTCTGAGATTAGTTGTGTTTGTATCCAAACTCTTAGAATGAAATGATGAAAAAATAAAAAAATGAATCTGTATTCAACTTTGGAGCCCAGACTCCTTTGAAAAGTAGGCATGTTGTTCTGAGAATCCATAATGAAGTAACATTTCAAATGAGGGAATTTAAAAAATTCCATGTTTCAGAGAAAGAGGCAAATGATAAGAAAGCATGTTGCCATTAGGCGCTGGAAACGCCTGGAAGAACTTCAGCTGCCAGGGGATGTCCTTGAGCTGGCGGAGGCTCGCCTCCACTCCCATACCTTCTCCGGAGCCTGGTTTGCGGCTTCCTGGCCGGGAGGCTCCTCAGCAAGCCTGCAGGCCCCGCGAGGAAGTGGCCTGCCTGGTTCCGTAAGTTAGAACTGGAGATCTTATTGCTCAGGGGCTCAGGGCACCTTGGGTTCTACTCCTTGCCCTCCCGGTGGGGAGGCCGCAGTGCCCCTGTTTCACAGGTCAGTCTCAGAGGGCCTTAGGGTGGTCCAGCCAGGTGACGGTGAGCAGAGCACAGGCTGGACGCTGCATCCAGGGTCCTCTTCCTGCCCCTTGGCACTCAGGCCACTGAGCTGTGTCCACGTGTGGCTTCCCAACAGGGAACTGGGGGGACTCCCTAGAGAACAGAGGTGGAAATGAATCGAAGCCAGTGTCTGGTGGGGAGGCAGTGGGACAGCGCCGGCTGCCCCAGAGCTCAGGTACTGCCCTTCGGACTCTGTTCTCCGTCCGGAGGGCCTGCCCCCACCCTGTCCTCTGCAGCAGGAAGGTCACTGCAAGGGTGGGTCCAGACATGTCTTGAACAGAAAGCCGTTGGCCAGGTGTTAAGTGTACCACAGAGAACTAGGCGGAAGAGGGCCCCTCGATTGTGAGGGGTGAGTGTTGACAGAAGTCCCAGGAGAGAGGAGAGAAATACTGGGCAGCAGACATGTCCAGTGCTGGGGGCCCACAAAGGGCAGGGCCGGTGGGGATCTGGAATCTCCAGAGGGGAAATGCAGGGCACCCGTGGGAGCCTCAGGGTGTTTGGAGGTGTGAGATCATGGGCTGGTCCCTGCAGGTGGTTCCCAGAAGGCCCGGCGCCCCTCTGTCCCTCTGCCCTCCCCTGGGTGGCCCCTTGGTGGGCTCGGTCTCTGTCTCTGTGCCGGCAAACCCCAGCTCCAGCCACTCGGCTGGGAAAGGCGCCCCTGTCTGCTGCTGGCCGGGCTCTGGGCAGAGCCTGGGACAGGCAGATGGCCGTCCAGAGAGGACCCACAGACAAAACATAAACATGATGTGGTTTCGCCCTTGTCTCAGGCCAAGTCCCTGTGCGATGGGCTCCCCAAGCTGGGTCAGCCTGCTGTTTTTCAGTTCCCCATCGGCCCTCAGTTCCCAGGGCCGCTGTCGGCCAACCCAGCTGGCAGCCTGGCCACAGGGCTGTGGTCCCTCTCCTGCGGCTGGCGCGGCAGCTGCGAGTGGGCTCTGCGTGTCAGTGCCCACCCCAACCTGGATGGGGACACACACATGGGCCAGTCTGGTGAGTGTCGGCACTCGGAGGGCCACTTGCTAGCGGGGTGTCCTGGGAGCATCACCTTTCAACTGGGCCGTGTATGGAAATGCACAAAGTGGTCTTGTGGGGACCACAGGGCCACTGGACCATGGGGGCATGGAGTGTAAGAGAGGACAGGAAGCCAGGAGCCCAGAGCTGTCCCTCCAGTTTTCCCTCCAGCCTGTACCTCCCTCATGTAACTTTGGGAGAGTGACTTTGTTGCTTAAGGTACAAAGTCCTAACCCTTTAGATGGGGGTGCTGGGGACCCTGAGGTCCCTCTGGGGGAGTCACTAGCTGTGTCTCTGAGGAGCTTTGGCCACGTGCGTTGTGACTTCGTTGGCATCAGTCACTCACCGGGTAGGGGATCATGCATCCCCCATCTCTCTTGTCCACGTCTGCGGTCCACCCCAGGCCGCGGGCCCTGCCATGTGCTTTCAGTACTTTGGGGTGTGGATGTGAGTTAAAATCCACTCTGTGGTATGAAGATTCCAAAGTCTGTCTTTGAACTTTAACTCACCCTGGATAAATGCTTTGGGGGTAAAGACTTTTTTGTTTCAACTTTAACACATAGAATTTAAAATATTTCCCCCTCACATGAACAGCCTCTTTCAAAGCTTACCACGGTGTGGTTAATGCCTCTCCACGGCAGCAAGCTGGGGTATTTATGGCTTCCCTCTTCCCCTGGACTCTGGGGACTGAGAACAAACCCACCTGTCAGGGACTCGGTTTCACCACCCATTCAGACTTGACTGAGTGAGCCTGTCTCCGAGGTTGGTGTGTCTTTCTTATCCAGACTGGCTTGGCTGATGGATAGATCGGGCGCTTGTATGACTGATTGTAAAGCCGTGACTGGTGCCATTCAGTTTACTGAGGTCTACACAGAGTGAAAAAGTTTTGCATGCGTCTCCTGAAATACCTCCAGTGCGGACAGAACGTTTGCTCTTACATCACGTGATGCAGGACACCTTCCACGGACACTCTGCCACGCCAGGGTGGGCATGAACTTTGGGGGTGGCTGTAACCACAAGCTGGGGGGCTTAAGACAGCAGACATGCATCTTCTGGACCCCCTCAGTATTCCGGTAGCAGAGGTCAGAAAGGGCAGGGCCCTGCGCCCTCTGGACGCTCCTGGGGAGGATCCTTTCAGCTCCCGCGCTCCCACAGACCCTGGTGGTCCTTGGCTGCTAGGCACGTCTCTCTGGTCTCCGTCGTCATCACATGGCCTCTCCGTGTGTCTGTGTCCAGATTTCCCTTTTCTTAGGGCATCAGTGATTGCACTTGGGGCCCACCCTAATTGAGTCTGACCAGATCTTAGTGTGATTGTACCTGCAAAGACCCTATTTTCAAACAAGGTCACATTCCCAGGTGTTGGGACTTCAATATATCTTTTCAGGAGGCACAATCCAACCCACAACAAGAGGGAAACTGAGTCCAGGTTTTCTTTTTGTAATTAACATAGCTTATACTTGGAACCCATTAATTTTGTAAGTCCCATCAAAATGCATAGCATGTCTTATTACTTATCTGCCTGTAACCATTTCTGTGATATCTCATGGTTGTCATTCATCGGTAAGTGACCTCTCATTGGCTTATGTGTGGCTGGATTTTTAAGAACACTATTCCCTTCCTCCCTATCCTCACCTGGAATCCCTCCTCTGCCTCCCAGGGGTGTGGTCTGTGGATAAAGAGTGAAGCCAACCAGTGTTCCAGGCCTGGCTTTGCCACTGTGAAGGGAAGAGGTGCCCGGGGTGCAGGCCGGGGGAGCCAGGCACCCTCCTGCAGGGCCCTCTCCCAGGGGCGTCACACAGACCTGCTTGACTCCCCAGCAGTGAGCTGTGGCAGCGCATGTGAAGTGTCCACCTGAGAATCCCTGTAGGGATTCAGTGCCCAGGGTTTTACTGAGGGCAGGTCAGTGAGCCCCCTCTGACTGGCATGCAGCAAAATCCCGAGCTCTCAGGGGGAGCAGGTGTTCCACATGGGCCAGCTCTGCACAAGTCGGGCACAGAGCCACTCAGCAGGCCTGGCAGTGGTGAGACCCTCCCTACATCCACGTGCCTCATGCCAGCCAAGGGCGGCCTCGGAGGCAGGCCTCTCTGGGCACTGAGGGCTCGAGCCTGGGCCCTGGCTTGCATCTGCGCCTGCTCTTGCCCAGTCCTTCACCGCTGCCTTTGGCCTCAGGGTTTTGTCATTTGGAGCCTCTCCTGGTATCTCCCCATGCTTACTTCCTGGCCCCTGAAGTCCTTGTAGCAGAGATGCCCACATGCCACCAGCCCTCCCAACGCTTGCTTCCTGCACCTCCACACTCACCAGCTCCCAGGGCCAGGGGTGATTCTGCCATCAGCGTTTGTGTGGCAACTTAGGGCTCCTAAAAATAGAAACACGTAATTCCAGATCTTTTATAGATCAGTTGATTTCTATGTTGCATTTCAGTCTCTTTAGTTTTTTAGGTGGTGGACATGTCTATTCATTATTTGCGGCCCCTGACAGTTGTGCAGTAAGACACCCCTGTGCGGCTGTCCAGGCGTGGTCCTGACATGCCACATCTCCCAGGTCCCTGCTTGTCTGCTCCTGAGGGCACCACGGGACCCCCAAGCTGTGCTCGTTTCCCAGACGTGCTGGGCCAAGAGCACTTTTGCTCTAATAATATAGCAAAATGTAGCTGTTGGAAGGAGCCTGGCTGGAACTGAGTGACTAATGTCCTCTATTTAAATGATGCGACCCCTTCCCTCTCTGAGGCTCTCAGTCCTGGTTCCCTTCAGGTTGGGTATCTGCGGGCTGCATCTTATCTCACACTGTTTGTGTCTGTGGGCTTTTGAAGGTCAGATGTAGCTGACCTTCAAAAACAGGTGCATATGTGGTACAGGAGAGACTGATTCACGGAAGTGTAGCGAGCTTGTGCTCAGCTACTGACCTCTGGAAGGTTCAGAATTCATTGTCTGGTGAGGCTTCCAAAGTGCCCATGTCTGAATTTCAGAGTGCTGATGCAAGAATTCTGGGGGAGGTCTCATTCCACTGAAAAATGTTTACCCTGGAAATGAATCCTGCACATCCCTCAGTAACTCTTTGTTGGTCAAGAAAAGCCCACAGCCAGTGGTCAACAATCACCGAGTCAAGGGCGTGACTCTGGCTTGGCGGAGACCTCACCCACACACTGCTCACTTATGGGGAGGCGTGGGTTTCCTCTCCTGGCCTGGCCAAGTCCTCACACATCCTTCAGACATGTGCAGCACAGGACTCCACGTTTCAACTGGAAAGAGGCCTCATGTGCCCAGGTCATCAACGCTGAGCTTGTTTCTTCAACCAATTTGTCTGCGTCTCAATTTTCTCTGCAGCTCCAGGGCCCTTTTCTCTTTTTAAGGCCTTGACCTCTGACTTGCGATCAAGGAAAACATTTGCATCATCTCGGAGCCAACAGTCACACAGGACTGGACAAGGAGCGCCTGCGAAGGAGTCCTTGGTCCTTAGCGGTTCTCCTCCAGGCTGCCTCCCGCCCTCCCTGTCCACTCCCTCCACTGACATTCATGGAAACGCTTCTATGGGCAAGACACGTGGGGCCACCTGCTGTCAGGATCGCCAGAACGATCAGCTGTAAATTACGCCCTCACCGAGCTTGGGATGTGTCCGTGGAGCAAGACACGTTCAACGCCAGGCAGACCCAAGGCTTCGGGGAGATGAGAAGCGAGTTCAGGATGACTTCCAGAAGGACCGGGCCTGCTTGACCTGCTGAAGCAGAAACTTTGACTCACTCCAGTCAGACTGCTGGTCCCTGCAGCCTCCGTCTGGGCAGCGGGTGGGGCTTCAAGAGTCTCACTTTGCTTTGAGGATCCCGGCAAAGGTGATCTGAAAGGTCCTGTGCGTCCAGATCTGCTCCAGATGTGCCGAGCAGACCTGGCTCCTGGTGCTGCTTGCAGGGGAAACAGTGCAGTTTCCCTGAGGAGAATGACAGGGCGACTGCCTTTAGACTCAGCAGTCGGACGGTCAGACCGAGTTGAGCACTAAGATCTCTAAGGTGCACTTGAGCTGTAAAAACCACAACGGTTCTTGTGCAAAAAGAAGATGTGGCCACTTTATAGACAGCCAAAGGGAACCCAGAAATCCAATATTCCAGAGAGCTATGAAGTATGAAGAGAAAAAGAAAAACCTTCAGCAAATATTGGTTGGGGGCTTACATCACATTCCTAGTGCAGAAAGCTGCCTGACTCCACAGCTTCAAGGGAAGCCAGGTAGCGGAAAGATTGGGTGTTCAGCCTGGACGCAGAGGAGGACAAGAAGGGGCATCGATGTTGCAGGAGGTGGGCACTGGCAGGCTCCTGCTGGGAGGGGTGGAAATCAGGCCATGTGGATGTGCTCTCTGTGTGATGAGACATGCCGGCACACGGGACATTCCTAGTTCACCTGGTGGTAGCAGCCTGACTTGTAACAATGATCCCTCTTACTCTTAAAGGTGTGCCAGTTTGCATGACAATGGACAGACTAGCTTCATTCATAATAGTCAAAAGCTGGAAAAAGTCCAGGTACCCAGCTATGCGAGGATGGGCAAACACACTTTGGTGTTTTGTACAGTGGAATGTTTTCAGTGATAGGAAGGAACAGACTGCCGCTACTCAGCAGCATGGATGAATCTCAGTGTCAGGCTGAGTAGAAGGAGCCCTACCCGGGAGTGTACAGGCACATCCCAGCGTGTTGCAGGACTAGTTTTGGACTGCTGCAATAAAGGGATTATTGCAATGAAGTGAGTCAGATGAATTTTTTGGTTTCCCATTGCATATAAAATTGTGTTTACGTTACATTGTAGTCTTTTAAGTGTGCAATAGCATTATGTCTAATAAAAAGCACATATCCTTTTTTTAAATTAAGGTATCATTGACATACAATCTTGTGAAAGTTTCACATGAGCAACATTGTGGTTTCAACATTCACCCATATTATCAAGTCACCCCTCACCCCATTGCAATCACTGTCTGTCAGCATAGTAAGAAAAAGCACATATCTTAATTAAAAATACTTTATTGCCTAAATACTTTAATGCTAACCATCATCTGAGCTTTCGGAAAGTCATAGTCACGGATCACAGATAATCACAGCCAATATAATAATGAAAAAGTCCGAAATATTGCAAGAATTGCCAAAATGTGACCCAGAGACATGAAATGGGTAAACGCTGTTAGAAAAATGGCACTGATAGACTTGCTCAACCCAGGGTTGCCACAAACCTTCAATTTGTAAAGAATGCAATATCTGCAAAGTGCAATAAAATATGTGTGTCTGTAGATGATGTGACGTAGGGGTCCAATCTCAATTTTTTAATGGCTCACACAGATGCCTAGTTATCCTGCATACTTATCACAGCAGAACATCCTATCACGATATTCTCAAAGGGATGAGCAAAAATAACTGTCAGGCTGGAATCTAAACCCAGCTAAACTACCACTCAAGAGTGAATTGTGAAACAAAGACATTTCAGATGGCGATGAGAGGTTCCCTGCTACTGGCCTGCACAGGAAGGCTGTAAGGCCTGTCTTCAGGCATGGAGTGGTTGAACACAAAAGGAAGATCCACCCAAATACCAGCGTGGTCCAGCAGGGACCTCATTCCATTCCATTTTTTTGTAGTCATGAGAAATATTCAACAGAGTCTGATGGACAGGCCATGCACCTAGCCAGTGCTGAATCCTGGGGTGTGATCTGATCGACCCTCCATGTTATGTTCATTCCTAGGATGGGCAGAGGGTTGCTGGCTTAGGCACAGCACCCTTGCTGAGGGTTTTCTTTACCTTCACAAATTTAGGAAACCAAGGGGAATCTGCTTGTTCACGTCCTCCCTAAGTGGAAGGGAGAAGCTTTTACAAGAAATAACTTTTTCAGCAAATCCAGTGTATTTTTTTGACCTCTTATTTTTTTCCCCCTGCAATTGTGACATGTCTACATGAAATGGGCCACAGGAAGGAAACCCTGTTCAAGAAGCTATTTTCTGAACATCCCTCTACGCCCTGGATTTCACAACCTGCGTGCGTTGAGATGGAGAGATGGAGCCTCGTGCCCTCGGGGCAGCTATCATCTGGGAGTTAAATGCTATGAGGAAGCACTTCTAGCTTCTGTGTGACTTCACCAGAGAGACAGAAAAGGTAGGAATCGAAGGGGTAATTAAATATTTACTCTAGAGAAAGAGGCTTTCAGCATGGAGAGCCTAAACACTTCTGCGAATGAGCCTGAAGTCAGAGGTCAATCAGGGAGATTGTACGATGGGGAAGTTCAGAGTTTAGAGAAGGAGTAGGAAAAAATAGAATGACCCAAACCCTGGGAGGTAACAGTGACCCAGTCCTGCTGCTCTCAAAAGTACCCTCTGCTTAGATGGGGAGCCCAGAGTCCTTGGTTTATGGCCTGAGGAATTTGCAGCCAACATAGGCGTCTTGCGCGGTAACTCACAATGTTTGCACTCATCCGTGTGAAACGAGGGAGGGCCAGCCTCCAGTTCCCCCGCCTGCCTTGCCTCTGTGAACTGTACGGTTTGCCTCAAGCCCCTGCACGTGAAAGCGCTGATCATGTAGGTTGTAGGCATGATCAAAATCACCTGACTTCTCGTCCTCTGCTTCCCGTGATGGTTCTTTCTCCCTGCTGTTGAAGGTGTCACCTCATGCGCCTCTGTGTTGGAGTATGCATATTGTAACTGACATTTCCAGTGCCTGCTAGACACATATCCTACTTAATCTTTGCAACAGCTCTTTGAGGTGGTTGTTTCTATCTGCGGTTTGCAAAGGAGAAGGCAGGCTCAGGGTGATGGAAGGGACTTTTGAGTAAGGGCACACAGCTGGTATGGCGGAGGTGGGACATGAGCACAGGTCTGAGGACTACACTCTCAATGGCAGGGCTTACCTGTCTCTGATACTGAACCTCATGCTTCTGAGGGTGCAGCTGGAGTGGACCCATGGCCCTCCTCATAAGCATCTCTGGATTGGCACCAACTGTAGACACACTGGAGGAGGTGCCGCCCCCTCTCTTTGACAGCATCTTCCCACTGCTTTGTTTATCAATGTACCTTCAGAGTATTAGTGGCCGATTCAAACTCATGTTTTAGATAATGAAACAGATGCTCTGATGAAGAACGAACACACTAGAGTGATGTAGCAGTCAGCGTTGCTGCATAACAAACTATCCCCAGACTCAGAAGCTTAAAACAGGGACGACTTACTCCTCCTCACGATTCTGTGGGTGGGCTGGGCTTCTTCGGCTGGTCTCTCCTGGGCTCCCTTGTGTGGCAGCGGCCAGCTGAGAAGCCTTTCATCCTAGGCACCTTCAAATGACGGCAAGTGTGTTCCAAGAGTGTCTGACTGCCTCTCCTTGGAAGTCACAAGTCACTTCTGCTCCATTCCATTAGTCACAAGGCCCTTCCAGAAGGAGTGGGGAAATAAGATGCCACTTGTTGATGGAAAGAGCAGCAAAGCCATGCGACCAAGGAGGGCGGGCCCAGGAAGCTGAGTCATCATTCTAGCAATCTGCTTCGATGATGTGGCCAATTCTTGGCAGAGGCAGAACTTGAACCCAAGACTCCTGATTTTGTTTTCTGAGACAGCATGCTGCTGCGACATCCCGTGGGACTTCCTGGCATATCATGCATTTTCCAGAAGTCTCCCTAATCTAATGACAGGCTTATTCTCTCTCTCTCCCTTTCCCCATCCTCTCCTTGCTTCTTTCCTTCACAGGATCTCCATGATTTGTAATCCTGTAGGTATGCATTTCATGTCAATCTTTCCACTGTTTTGGAAACCGCCTTCTCGTTCATGCCTCTATTCCTGGGACCTATAAAGGAAGGTTGGTTGAATTATCCTCAAATTGGACATTTCTCTCCTTTTATTCGTTTCTATGCAGTTATAAGCTGTGCATTTCTTCAATTAGAGAGGAAAAATCACCAACCCCATATTCTAAGACCAGGGACTTTCCAGCTAGTCTCGGGGTGACACACTTAGTTAAGCGTTGTGGCCTCCTCATGTGACATCATGCTGTGGGCAGTGCTGGGCCTGGTGAACTGGGCGCTGGAGAAGTAAACCCTCTGTGAAGACCCTGACTGCAGCAAACCTTGACTCCTGGCTAAGAGGCCATGCACCTTCTCTTCTGGTTACTTCTGCTTTCTCAGTGAAATAGGGACAACATCAGAGGGGTACTGGAGGCTTGGGGAGAGAGCATGTATGAGAGAAGGGTCCAGGAGAGGGAAGGATAGAGAAGTGGGTGCAGCCACTGGACAGTGGGGCCTGGATGAGGGTCAAGGGCCTGATGAGGACGGAGGCCGGTTGTCATGGCTGCGTTTCTCCTCTGGCCGCGTCAGCCGCTGCACATGGAGCTGAGCGTGGGGAGGCAGAGCGGTGTTCCACCAGGCGTGCTGTTTGCCTAGAGACGCTGTGCTTCTCCTGCGTTGTCTGTAGGGTGGGTGGGACCTCCCACTGTGCACTGAGGTGGGCAATTCAGAGGTGGGAGTGGAGGAACTTAAGTACCTCCAGAGCATCCAGAACATTCTCACCAGGCCCAGATAAATGAAATGTACTTTCCTTCAAGTGACTGATTTTAATCTGATGTCATGCAACATGTGGCAGAAGAGGAGGGGCAGACAAGGACCGGCATGAGCCTTGAGTGCCCTGAGGGCTGTGTGTCCCAAACCCGACCCCCACCCCCCCGCTAGGGACTACTGTCTGCAGAGAGAACTGACAGCCCACCCTTTCCACCTTGAAGGCCAAGTTGTACCAGCATCACCACATTCAGGTTTATGACATGAATGTCTGCCATGTGTCCACGAGATGGGGCACGTGGAAGTGTGAGTTCTCGAGAAACTTACATTCTGGTTGTCATAGATCACCTGAGGCAGGAACACAGCAATAGGTGATACTTAACAAGCTCAGGCATTACGTCCCATTCAGAGCCAGGAAGTATGGCCACGCCCAGTTTGTCTTTACCCCCAAGAGAGGCAGTGGGAAAAACCAGGGGCCAAGAGGTTTGAAGACCGAGTTTCTGTCTGTATGGCAGGTGCTTCTGACAGGTATCACTCTCGATGTCTTTGGGGAGCCACCACATCTGTGACTCAGGCAGCCCCAGGGGCTCCCCCAGTTTCCTGCTGATGGGAAGTGGTGCCCAATAACTCAAGTTTCCTTTCATATCAGGTTCTCGTGAATCCTGCTACTCTGAGACTTAGAGATGGGTGGGGAAGGACCCTTCTGAGGAGTTTTTGTCCTTTAGACCTTCTGGCAGGCCTGGGCATTGGCAGGTGAAGGGTGGGTGCCTCAAGCTGGAAGGTCCCCAGCTGGTCCTGAGGAACATTGGGTGGTACCTTGTAGGCAGGTCTAGGCTGCTCCCTGCTGGGCTGGCACTCACCCAGGGCCAACAGCACTTGGCCTTTTTAGGAGCCACCATCCTCTCCAGGGACCCCGCTCTGGGGCATCTCACATGGGAGGGCTCTCACGCCGGACCCCTGATGGACGGGGCCAAGGGGCGGCTGCAGTTTGGGGGCAGGTCTGCAGGCTGGTGGGTGGAGTGGAAGAGAGCTGAAGGAAGGCACGCAAACCAGCGGTTCTACCTGGGACGACTCCCCCAGGGGACACCGCGTCACATCTGGAGACATTTTTATTGGTTACCATTGGGGGATGAACGGTTTGTCATCCAGGGACAGAGGCCGGAGACACTGCCCAGCCCGCTCCCGTGGACAGGACACCCCACACAGAGGGATCCGCCTCAAATATCAACAGAAGCCTTGACATGATGCCAGGGACGGCTGCGGCTGGAGGGAAGGGATGCGGCTGTCTGGGCCTGGCTCCGAGGAAGAGCTTCATGTGCCCGGGAACTGCTCCAGTGGGAAGGCTCACTTTTTCCTTGTGCATGAGGTGGCCTTTGGATGAACTGTGGAAATGGAAAAGTTATGTTGGGGCTCCGGGCTCCGATTTCGATCTTTTCCGTGCGAAGCTCCCCTTCCGATCTCCCCTTGCCTAAGCGGGAGAGGAGGGCATTGGTCATCGGCTCCTTGGGAGGCCACACATCCCAGGCTGCCTCCCTGTGGATGGTCCCCGTCCAGAGTTCCCTCTGATGGCGACGCAGCGCCCTATGCTGGCTGAGGAGGGTCTCTGTGGGTGACCACTCACCCCTGCCTGGCCTTGCTGAGCGCATTCACCAACCTGTCCCTCACCGCTGACGATGGCATCTTGCTGGCCATGAACTGGCCTTCGAGGCCTCAGGTCCACACAGGCTGTTTTCTAGCCCTGGTGGGATCTGGTGCAGGTGGAGCACAGAGAAACCAGGTAGGCCTCTCTGCCTCGTCCCACTTGGGCCTTCCTAGGCGGAACCGGAGGACCTGGCCTCTACAGAGCTAGGAGGAGAAGCTGGGGCAGGAGCCCTCAGTGAGGGGAGCGTGCGGTCTGGTCTTCCAGGACCGGGGTCGGGTCTCAGGGGCTGTGGGCATTTGTGGGGAAGAGCAAGAGGCCCTGACGATCTCCAGGGAGGCTGTAGGAGTGGAGTGGTGGCGGCAGAAGTCTCCTGGTGGACTGGGTCACACGGACAGCACCTGGTGGGGACGGGCAGTGGGGGAGGGAGCTAGGCCCAGTGCCGGAGTTTACCAAGCTCCGTTCACAGGCCAGAACTGCCCAGGAGCTGAGCTCTGAGCCGGGCCCTTCCGCATGCGCCGTGCCGTGATGGTCCACGGGGACCCCTCTCTCTTCCAGACTACGCCTGTTGTCGATTTTAGCTAGGTGTCACCAGCAAATGAAGGATGAGGGTTGGTGTGAGCCTACCCAGATGACCGAGGGTCTACAGGTCCAGGCTGTCCACTGGGGAACCCAGCTTGGAAAGCTTGGAAAGCTGAGAACAACTTCTTGTGAGTACGGGCTCCAACCCCTCTGCTCAGAAGGAAAACCGAGAGCCTCAGGCCACATGCTGGGGGAGCTGCAGTGCTCCGGCTGGGGCCTGGGGGCGGGGGAGGCATCAGGAAAACTCTGAAAATTCTACACAATGTTTTGCTTTCACTCACCTAAATTTAGAGGAATCCTCTGGCAAAATGAAACTGAAGGCTTACTTCCCCTGGCTGTCTCCCGGTGACGCCGGTGTCCGGACTCGCCCTTTATTAGAGACTCCGCATGCTTTTCCAGGGGCAGCTGCCAGTGAATCATTTATGGACAGTGAAGTCCACTGCTCTGAGTGCACTTCCGTGGGTTTTGACAAATGGTACAGTGGGCACCCCCTGCGACTGTGACAAAACGTTTCTGCTACCTGAGTTCTCTCATGTCTCTCTGGTGAGCGTCCCCCGCTCCCCAGCTCCCTGGCAACACCCATCTGCTTTCTGTCACTGTGGTGTGGCCTTTCTGTAATCGTGTACACACGCTTTCTCACAGCGGGCAGGCTTGCTGTCTCCCCCTTAAGCTTAGTGCTTCTGTGTGTGCGTCAGCAGTTTGTCCCTCTCCCGCCGAGACCTGTCCCTGCTGTGCAGACACCACGGTGTGCTTGTCTGTTCACCCAGTAAGGGCACACTCGGTTGGTTCCAGGTTTTGAGACTCTGAATAAAGCTTCTGTAAACATTCATTTGCAGGGATGAATGTGGGCATATGTCCCCTGTTTTTGTGGTAAACACATCTGAGTGGAATTGCTGGGTCATGTTAAGTATATGTTTAATTTTTTTAAGTAACTGCCAGACTTTTCCAAAGTGTCTGCACTGTTTTGTGCTCCCACTGGCTATCATGAAGTTCCAGTTCCTCCACATCTTTTCCAGCACTTGGTATCGACGGTCTTGTAATTTTAACCATTCTAATGACCATATAAGAGTATCACTTTGTAACTTTCATTTGTGTTTCCCTACCGACTAATGATGTTTTCACTTGTTTATTTGCCATCTCTGTGTCTTCTCTGATAAAAGTCTGTTCGGATCCTTTGACCATTTTTAAAAACGAGATTGTTTTCTTATTCTTGAGTAATAAGGATTCTTTATATATTCTGGATATAAGTCCTTTGTCAGATACATGTTTTACAAATATGTTTTGGTGGCTTGCCTTTTCATTTTCTTAACAGGGTCATTTTAGGAGCAAAATTAAAAATTTGGATGAAGTCCAACTTATTAAATAGTTCTTTTATAGTTTATGCTCTTTTGTGTCCTTTTAAAGAAGTTTTTGCCTAAACCAAGATCACTTAGATTTTCTGTTTTCTAGAAGCTTTATAGTTTTATCCCATACACTTATGTCTTAGACCTATTCTGAGTTTATTTTTGTGTATGACAAAAGAGGCATGGTTCACTTTTTTCCTTTATGGATGCCCAGTTGTTCTAGTACCATTAGTTGAAAAGATTATTCTTTCCTCATTAAATTGCCTTGGTACCTTTGCAGGAAATCAATCGGCCATGTCTATGTGGATCTGTTTCTAGATGCTATGCTGTTCTGATTTTACTAGAAAAAATAATATTAAAGCACAGTGCCTCTCATGAAAACACTTTCATACTTGATCAGCTGACGTGTTTGTCTGGGAGACTATGGTCTATTGTTGCACAGCTGTAGTGTGCTTTAGCTGAAAGCATTCATAGTGGGGTCCAATTTAAATACGGCAACTTATGGAAACAAATGGTCAAAATGGCCTAAGACCTTTGAGAATAAGGTATAACAATCCGAAATATATTACCTTGCAGCTATTTTTGCATTTCTTCCTTATACAACTCCCAGCTCAATGACAACCTGACTCAAATGTGGGAAGTCAGCTTCTGGTTTCAAATACAGATCTCCCTGTCACTGTCCATTCCCAGGAATATCTT